CCCCAAAACCCCAAAACCCCAAAACCCCAAAACCCCTATGTTGATACATACAATTGAAGTTAATTATTTATTATAATATGTTAATTAAAGAGTTCATAGAGATGATTTCTAGAAAATTCGAGAAAGTCGGTGAATGCATATGAGCATAAGGCCTTCGAACCTGAGAGTGTCTTAAACTCCACAGCTCTCTTTCCATCCTTCTTCCTCCTTAAAATGTTGACTTCTATGTTGGCTCTTTTGTCTCCTTCATCAACTTTGATGTTGACTCTGTAGAAGTCTGGGGATTTTATGTGTGAGATTTTTTTAGCTGTTCAGTACCAAGTAACTGCGTCAACAAGGATGTCTCCATCTACGACTGATACATAGTCGGAGACGAGGGGTTCAGACTCTTCATCAGCCATTTCGGCATTCTCGCTCTGGTCTGAATCCTCGTTTGTAGCAGAATCACTAGAGCTGTTCTGACTTCATCCTGAGGATTGACTACTTTCTTTTGGATCAGTTGTTTCTATATTTCCCTCTAAAATCTTCTTCCTTAATCTGAATTCAAATTTAATATCTTCGGCCTTAGCCATGGGACCTTTCATCCAGGGGTGGTTTTTGATCGCATCGAGGGAGAGTCTAGCCTTGGGGTTGGCCTGGAGCATTCCATTGATCAGATCCTTGAAATCTTCAGAGAATTCTTCAGTACCATCATTCGAATTTTGATGGAGTTCCCAAAATTTATCTAATTGACCTTTCATGACCAAATTGTAGTACTTATCTCCATGCTCAGCCTTGATGAATGGGCAATGCTTCGTGGTCATAATGAACAAGATTACAGCTGCAGAGAATATGTCAGCCTTCCTTGGGTTGTATGGCTTATTAGCCAGGACTTCTGGAGCCATGTAGCCGAAAGTTCCTCTCCTTTGGGTGCATCTTTCAGATTTTGTAGCAAACCCGAAATCAGCAAATTTCAGAGTAAAGTCCGACCCGAAAAGGAGGTTTTCAGGTTTGATGTCTCTGTGGGAATATCCCTTTGAGGCCATGTACTCCAGAGTCTTAATGATCTGATTGAAGAAGAATCTGGTAGTTTTCTCACTGAATTTTTCTCCTTTAGCTACATAATCGAACAATTCACCATATTGAGCATACTCCAGAGCGATATAGTTGATGTCCACTTCCTTCCCATTTGGGTCAATCAAGAGCTCATGTGGGGATGAGCCCTTAAGCTTTAGAATAGTGTTTAGTTCTAGCTCCTTTAGCACTGCAACTTCATTCTCAAACAGACTTTTCCTATAAAGTCCCTGTTTTGAACCAGAATTCTTCATTATCTTGAGAGCAACTTTCTCTCCTGTCCTAATATCCTCAGCCAGCATGACTCTATAATAACAGGTTAACACCAAATCTCACAATCTGCCACTAAAAATACCCAAACCTCCAGCTCCAAAGATGGAGACTTACTTTGAAAATCCGCCTGTTCCAATTTTCCTAACAAATTTGTAGTTTCCAATTGTTGTCATTTAATAATTAATTTATATTGAATAACCTCCCAATTTCTTCTTCCTTATATGGGGTTTTGGGGTTTTGGGGTTTTGGGGTTTTGGGGTTTTGGGG